ACTCTGGGCCTGGGCGCTGTCCCTCAGCTCTTCAGCTCAAGGCTAGCACTCTACCACTTGAGCCACAGCGCCACTTCTGGCTTTTTTTCTGCTTACGTGGTGCTGAGGAATCGAACCCAGGGCCTCATGCATGCAAGGCAAGCGCTCTACCACTGAGCCACCTTCCCAGCCCTGGTTGGGTTTTTTTTTGGTCAGTCGTGGGCTTGAACTTTGGGCCTGGGCACTGTCCCTTAGCTCGCTCAAGGCTAGAGCTCTACCACTTGAACCACGGTGCCACTTCCGGCTTTCTGAGTGGTTTATTGGGGATAAGAGTTTCAAAGACTTTCCTTCCCGGACTGGCTTTCAACTGCGATCCTGAGATCTCAGCCTCCTGAGTAGCTAGGATTACAGGCTTGAGCCACCAGTGCCCGGCTAGTTCTCTTTTATCAAAGATTAAACTTATGGCTACTCTGTGTGCTTAGGAAAGCAGAAATAAAAGTCTTAATGAAAAATCTCTCTACAAGTGAGTGTAACCTCTAGCCAAACCTCACCCTAGGACATTTGAGTCTCTGGGCCAGAGAAGTGTCTTAAACCAGCTTAGAACCCCACTGTCCCAGGGCAGGATCACGAATACTGGGGCTGCAGAAGCAGTGGGTTTCCGCCCCAGCGAGCTAAGGCCATCCAGTGAGCCTAACAGCTATGGCTCTAAGTGTGGGGGAAGAGCTTCACAGGCGAAAGCAGTCCAGGGGCCCAGGAGGGGCGGCTGGTCCAATTCGAGGCCGGGCCAGACTCCGGTGGGGCGAGTACAACCATGTAGCCTGCACAGCCTGGGCGGGGCCAGGCCAGCTGGGACCGGGCGACAACAGAGCTGTGACCCTTGCCTGGCGCCAACTCCGTGTTCCAGAGGCTTCCGCTAGACCACAATTCTCAGGGGCTAGCCCCAGCAGCCTCCCTCTCTAGCTTAACCTCTCCTCCCGCGCTGTAGGCCGTCTCTGGGCCTCCGCGCACAGCACCCTGGGATCTGTAGTTTTGTCATAGCGCACTACTGCCTGAAAGGTGGGCGGCGGGACTGCGTTTCCCGGAGTGCAGCGGGGCGGACGAGGGAAGGCAGGGGGGAAGGGACAGTCGGTCGCAGACCGCGCTGGGTTGCCGCCGCCGCTGCCGCCATCGTGCCAGCCCCTCGGGTGAGTGTTGGGGCTAGCGCGCCAGGGCGAGGGCTAGGCTGCAAGAGCCGCGCTCTGGGCCGCCGGGAGCTTCTGCTGCGACTCGCTGAGAGGCCCCTCCCCTCCCCACCCTCCTGGCGGCCCGAAGCCGCGCGGGGCCCGGGCCATGTGTCGCGCGCGGCTCCGCCTCCCGCCGGTCCTCTGAGGCAGCGGCCGGTGGGAAACGCTGAGAGCTAGACAGACGCCTATCCCGGCCGTGCTGTGCTATGACTGGTGAGCCGGACTTTGCTGTGGCCAGGGCCTTTTTCTTCCGTCCGGACCATCCGGATGGGGTTCACAGGGCCCCGCCCCGTCTGGTCTGGCCCAACCTGCTCGAATCCCAAAAGCTCTACAAGCTGGCTAGCGAGCAGACCCCAGCCCCACGTCCTGCCACCAGCCGGCGAAGATCCGGGGATGGGCAGCGCCACCCGGTTCGCTCCAGAGCCAGCATGGGTAAGGGTGCCTGCCTGGTGCCCCTGGGTGAGGGGTTTGGATCCCCTCACCCGGTTCCCTGCCATAGTCTGCTTCTCTGCTTAACTGCCTGCTGGGAGTGCACAAACACCTACCTCTCTTTGGGTGGAATTTAGGCTGGATTATCTTGCATGGAGGACAGAATCAGGGAGTCTGGGGGTGGTTGGAGGTTCCACGTGGGACTTTTATCCTGATCAGTCCTGGAAGACCTGGACCTGATGTGGTGAAGCATCTCTAGGCGGGTAGGCCAGGCCTCCACCCTTCTCTTATCAGTGACCAGGCCCCAGCTATGGGTAGGTTGATCGGTTCTGTTACCAGGGAAGGAAGCTAAAGAGGTGAGGCTGGATATGTGAGCCTTCAAGGCTTTTGTTAGGTTTCTCAGGCACAGCCCAATCAATCCCCACATCAAAACTTAGCAGTCAGCATTGATTGCCAGGCCGGAGAGGATGACTCTTTAAGAATGGAATGATAAGGTAGGATTTAATGCTGGGAAAATAGAATCTAGGCCTGAGTTTTTTTTTTGAGTCCAGTACCAGGCAAGAGGCCAAAGTGGAAGGTGCCTTGTGGGGTGAGGCCCATTTGGGTAGTAGGCTCAGGTTTAGGCTCTGAGGGCCTTTCTGAAGCAGGGTAGCAAAAGCTGCAGAAAGCCAAGCTTCCTCTTCAATTGACTGCTTCTCTGAAAAAGGCAGAAAGCTGAAAGCTGGTTGGATATCCAGAAATTGCTCTCAATGGCATTGGGTATCTGGACAGAGAGATAGTGTTAGGCAGATTTCGAAAAGACACTTCTGTTTGATGATTAAGGGACTAGTTTTCAAAGAACACCCTAGGACTTGTGGGAGAGACAGCATCTCTTCTCAAGCCTTGATTTCAGCATCTGGATCACAGTTCTTCCATGTACTCAAGAAGCAGTTCAGTCTTAGCAGAACTAGACTCAGTAACAAGCAAGAATGCCAGATCTCTTGAGGCTGAGTCAGGGCCATAATGTGGAAAGTACTGTCCCTGGGCCTTTTTTCTTCAGTATTTCCCCAGATGCTTTTTATTTTATTTTATGTTTTTGTGGGTCCTGTGGGTTGAACTCTGGGCCTTGGTGATGTTCCGGAGCTTCTTTTGCTCAAGGTTAGCACTTTACCACTTGAGACACAG